AGAAGTAGTGCTTAAAATTCTTTAAATTCTGTCCCATAGGCAAAAATGTGGAAACCATTCTTCCCAAAGAAACTCCTTTTCAAGTGGCTCATTTAGAATCCACACTTAAACACAGTTTAGCTAAAACCATAAGCTGGGTATGGCAGCCCTTGCCTGTAAGCCTAGCATCTTGAGAGGCTGAGGCAGGAGGACCCCAAGTCAAAGCCCAGCCTGGACAACTTAGTGAATTAGTGAAAACCTGTGTCATGGGGCTGAGTATGTAACTCAGAATGAGTATGTAACTCAGAATGAGGGCTCTGGGTTCTATACCCACTAGTGGTGAAAAAAAATACAGAATTATGTGGGTGAATCTATAAAATCCTTACTAAAATCCAAGAGTGAAGCCTGAGCGACTACAAAAACTTCGAACCTCCAGCTGGGGCTCTGAGAGTTCAGTGACATGAGGACACCTGGAGAGGCCTTCAACCTGCGTGTGTTCACCCTGCAAAACCCTGGAAAGGAACAGAAGGGGACATGGTGGGGGGCAAGGAGAGGGCTTGGAATGGAAACAGCACCGACGGCACGGTGCGCTGACGCTCTGTGACTAAGGGCTCTCCCCTCTCCGCCTTCCCCCCTTCTCTGCACTGGGGATGGAGTCCAGGGCCTTCATACTATGCACCCCACCACTTAGAAGAAGGTATATTGAGGCAGGGTCTTGCTAAATTGCTAAACTGCCTAGGGTGAGCTCAGATCTATGATCCTCCCAGCTCCCTGAAAGGCTGACATCACAGGCTTGTGCCACCATGCTAGGTCCAAGAGTTACTTGAGGTTCCAGAAAGTGTCTCAGAATATACATTAACAACAGATAATCAATAAGGAGACTCCATTTAAAAAAAAAATTCTAAGGTCTGCAGACCTTGTCTAATGGTCTTACGTTACTGTTCTATTTCTAAAGAGAAGAGAACTCCTGATATATATGACTTTATTAGCTTTTATAGTAAGGCCCACCTTCTGCTTCTCAAGCCATGTTAGCAAGTTTTAACAAAGGACATTGTGAAAGACATTTTATCACTGGCACTATAGGAAAAGTCAGCACTTAACTACACCTAGACTATAGTTCTTAGAAGTGAAAGTTACTAGCCACCCACCAATAGCAGCAAAATTTTACAGACTGTCAAATTAACAGATAAACCTCATCAAATGTTCTTTCCTTACACTGTGGCCTGAACACAAAAGGGGGCAGTACTTCCTACAGTACGCTTCAAGAGCTAAATATTCTTCTTTCCTCCCTCTCCACCCTCTTTATTATTTTCTACTGTACACTTCTATCAAATGCACAAAATTACAAATGGCAACAGGGGAGTTTCTGCCTGAAAGAAAAACTGCATTTGATTACTTTCTGATGAAATTATTACCTTCAAATATTTGACTTTAGTTTCTAGGCTACAGTAGCCGCAGTGCACTTCCCGTTATTGGCATACCCGGGAGGTGCATTTGGGTCTCTGTACTGACTTCTATTATCTGCACCGGGTTTTGTATGACAAACCGCTCAGTAATACAGTAGTAGAAATACATACAATATAATTTTTTTCTTTACAAGAAAATAGATCAGTGATGACACCAAACTTCTGCAAAACAAATCATCATGTGCCAAGCAATGGAGACAAATGCAAAGCGAACGTTAAACTCTCAGTTCTAGCCAAATGCCACCTTGCAGAGTCCAGGAGACTCTGTCTCGGACTCCTCTCTGCCCTCTCTGCACTCAGTCTCCTTTCTTGTCCTCTCTAAAATTATTTAGGCCCTTCTGTTCCTGGTCTTCAGGAAGCAAGAAGAACAGAGCTGAGGAGAGAAAAGGAAATAGGAGCTGCCAATTTGTAATGTCATAGGTCTGCCTGACATCAGATGATTTAGACACTGAATACAAACTACTGAGGTTCCACTCTTTAGCTATGTCCTCCTGATGGGTCGGACACCCCAGACTCTGAGCAGGGAGGGGCCAGGGCTAGTTGGTCTTCAGGCCATGACACTGCTCAGCGGTGGTGCTTCACTGGGGCCTACACTGCCCTGGGACATCATTTCGCTCCCTTTCTGGCTGCTAACTTTAGCACAGGTCTCTTCTATTTTCCAGCCCACTGGTTCCTTTGCGTAGCTCTTCGCTCTTTTTCCTGGGGATTACGACGGTTAATTTAATGTGTCAACCTGAAGGAGGCACAGAACACCCCAGTGTTTGGTTAGACACGTTTCTGGGTGTGAAGGGAGGATGTTCCTGGATGCGAGTAATGCTGGAAGGGGAAAGCAGAGTGCCCTCCTCAGGGTGGGTCTCATCAAGCTGCTGAAGGCCTGAAGGGAAAGAAGGCTGAGGAGGGAGCCGGTCTGTCTGTCTGTCTGTCTTAAGGACACTGGGGTCCTGCCCATGGCTGGGACTTGAACTGGAATCTACAGCAAGGCTCTCCTGCTTCTCAGACTGTTGATCTTGGACTGGAGCCACATTATTGCCTCCTACAGGTCTCTAGTTTATTGACCACAGACTTTGGCATTTCTCAGTTTCTGTAATCATATGAGGCAAGTCTTTACAATAAATCACTCTATATATGCACACATTCTATGAATTGTTTCTCTGGAAGACCATGCCTACTACAGGATTCTAGGACAAAGTTAGAACTGTTAGAATTTCTTAGGGCCGTGGGGGCCTATACTTTGGAGGCCACTTTCTCCAAAACGTACTGAAATGTACTTTGTTAAACTGTAAGCCAACTGTGCTCTTTACTTCCTTCTCTGGCTAATATGAACCTCGTGGAAAAAAAGATCATTGTCTCAGATCCTTGTTTCTTCTGTATCATCACTCAGACTTCTTTGCTGATCAAGAAGAAGCTGAGAAGTAAATTAAGAATACCAATTGCCTTTGCCATTCTCTGTCTGGAGAAATGCAACAATCATAAGGGGAGATCAAGAATTAAGCACAGTGGTGCCTCTGTTCAATTTTCACCAGGTTGCAAACTGAATCAAATTTCACCATAAGGTCAACAATGAACCTTACCACTGAATTGGATTCGGTTCTCATCCGACTCAGTTTGCAAACAATTATGGAAAGAATCAAGTTTGCAAACTGAAGTACCGCTGGACTTGGTCCTTTTTTTTGAGATAGAGATTAGAGCCATTTGATGACTGAGCAGTGTTCCTGTGCCATTTATTATTTTATTTGCTTTTAAAAATTCTGAGACAGGGTCTTGCTAAGTTAGCCAGGTTGGCCTCCAATGTGCAGTCCTCCCACCTCCATCCTCCGTAGCTGGGGTTACTGGTGTGCACCACCAGGCTAGGCCAGGGGCTTGGTCCTTAGCTGAACATATACCCAGTGGCTACCTTGTTTTTCCTTATTACTTCCTTACCTTTATCATTTTTATCAGCAAATCATCCTCTGTCCTCTATGTGGGATGTGTACACCCAAGTAATTGTAGCACTTTTTTGTGTGTGTTTTTTAGTTTTAGATTTTGGACGGATTTTTAGCTTTGCATATGAAGCTAAGCCATCCTGCTGTTTTTGAACATGCTTCTTCCACTCATGTGTGAAAGACGAAATACTGGTCTCCTCAATAAGTCCACATCCCAATTTTCCAGAACCTATGCATTAAGTTACAGCAAGAGAGACTTGGCATACACCATTGAGTTAAGAGTCTTGAGAGGAGCAGAACTGGAATTTGAAAACCACCACTTTCCTCTAAGATCAGGTTTTTTAAGATAGGGAGAAATCAGCAGGTTGAGTGTGACTTTACACTGACTGAATGATTACTGACTACAGCAGAAAAAACACTGAAAACATGCCAAAAGTTCATCAATGGGAGAAAAACTAAACTAACCACGATGTATTAACCCAGTGGAATATTATTCAATAGTAAAAAAAAGAATGAACTAGGGCTATATTTAGCCTGACATATAAAAATATAAAAGTGTATTAATTAAAAAGACTGCTCCAAAGAATACAATACAAAGAAAAAAAAGGAGAAAAATTGGAAAAATTGGAAAACCTGTTCTTATATTTATGTAACAAAGGCATAAAACAGGGGAACTGGAATCTCTGATAGTACAGAAATTTGCAAGAAGAAAGAAAATACATGAATTTCTTACTAAAATGCTGAAAGCAATACTTGATAATGTTAAAATTTGTTAATTTATTCATTTCCATTTTTGCGTAGTTTTAACTGTTTTATAAGTAGCCTAGTTAGGTTTAAAATTCTGTGTACAAGAATGAGCACATAAAAAAAGGTTATATACACATTCATGTACTTATACATTCATAGGGAATAATAATTCTTAGCCCAATCTATTTTAAAAAATGTTTTCAGTTGGTGAGGCTGATGGAAAGTTTTCAGTCAATGTTTACATGAAATGGGTATTTTACTATTTTCTTTTGGATAGACTAGAAATCAAGAAGCACTGTTTAATAACAGATATATCAAAATCAACTCAGTAATTACTTGCTCTTAGGATAAAATAAAAATGACAGTACACAAAGCTTTCATATATGTTTAGAACACACTCAATCAAAAACTGAAAAACAAGACAAAGATCACATCAGGCATCTAAGTATCTCTAAAGGAAAATGCTAAACTTTTACTGAAAATTAAAAAAAAAAATCGAAAGTAAAAAAGCATGTCCCGTACTATTACTATGGTTAGAATAAATAATCTGGTCATTAGTTTTCACCCCTCTGCCTCCATTCTTCTTCGTTGGTGTTGCTGTGACAGGGTCTCGCTATGTCCCCCAGGCTGGTCTTTTAACCTGTGCCCTCCAGTGATCCTTCAGCTACAACTTTCCAAGTAGCTGGGACTACACTGAACAACACTGAACCCGGCCCGCCCTTTTACATCTGACTAGTAAATATACTTGCCATCCAAACCACCATGCTTTTGAGAAAGTACTTCCCAGCTTTTTGTGTTTCACTGCTTCTGCTAAGCACTGCCTCTAAGATGTAAGCAACGCCTTTTGGAGACCCCAGTATTTTCTCGAAGCCACTTCCCACCCTACCTGGGTTGGTGTAGAGTTGGCTTTCCACAGTCTTGCTGATGCACTGCAGCTTAATGGCCTGCAGGGAGTCGTCCACATGCATGATGGTTGGCAGGCTACCCAGAGTGTCCTGCACCAAGTTGGCTACTTCCCGGACATCGAAGAGCTTCAAGAGTTCTGAGTACACAGCTGGGAAGGAGCTCAGAAACACAGCCTGAAAAAGCAGAAGAAATTGAAATCAACTCCCAGGTAAGCCATGAGAAATAAGCTGTAAATTGTCGGTGAGTTTAAGGATTGTGACAAGTATTTTTAAATGTAAGGAAAATGAATATGTTTCTGTTACCTCAAGTTAAAAGTGCAAAAATTTTAAAGCCAAAAGTGTGTGGTGGAATAGGAAAATTTTAAAGAAATTTGCAAAGAAACAACATAATGATACCTGAATCTAATGGAAAAATCACTGCCATTAGCAAAATGACTGGCAAAACCCCTGTAGAATCAGCTAAATGAAGCATGAAAAAACAGAAAGAATATTCAACCAAGACCTGGAATCTAAGTGGTCACTTAGATTTCATTCCTTTTCAAGAAATTTCTGTGAACTGCTCACTTAAATCACATTCATCTTTAAGAAACGGAACACATTAATTCCCTAAAGCACTCAGTTTATAACTGCAGAGAAAGTTTGGCACAGGGCAACAGAAGACCTAGGTTGTATGTGGTGCTAGCTTTGCTTCCAGTCAATGCTGTGACTTGGAAAGTCGCTGTAGACTCCAAGCCTTTTGTTTCAGCACTTGCAAAGTAAAAGCATGACTGGGACAATATGTTGCTTCAAGACCTGCTGTAAACCAGGAAGTGTGTGGAAAGACTAAAAAACTGGTTTTTAAAAAAAAATATATAAAGAAATCTGTTAATCTTTTCCTCCTTTCTTTTTAAATTTATTTTTGTGTGTGTGTGGGGGGGGGGTGGTACAGGGCCTTTTGCATACATCTGCTTTTCCAGTCCATTACCATTTTTTATGGAAAATAAACAGATGCTAAATCAAACTCCTATGGACACAATTTAAAATTTGGGGAAGAATTGTACATGAAAACAAGCGAAGTCAGCCTTTAAAAATTCCATGGAGAGCAGGTCAAAGGAAAGCGGTGTCACTGGCCTCACGTGCAGCCAGGGAAGGAAGGGGTGCATGTTTGCAAGATGTTGGGGCTGCAGTGCTCGCCTGCTTACCAGTGTGACCTGACATCCTCAGAGAGGGGGTCGAGTCTACATGTGCTGATGATTCCAGCATGGGATCAAATTCAAATTCAAGGATTTCAGTATTACCTAGATAGGTGCAGCAAAAATATCCACAAGGCCAAAGGTCTATTCTTGATGTGACAGCTACAAAATGCTTAAGGCTCTTCTTGTCAACAGTTATGCTCTTTGACTTTTCAAAATTGTAGGTTCACCTGAATATACTTAAAATTAATAACTTGGTATTCTGTGAGAGACTATATTTATATAACCTTCATTGTACTATGCAAAGAGCTGAGTCACAGAAATAAGATAAATAAAATGTAGTTTTCTTACTGTGAGGTCAAATACATTGATTTCCCTCAGACATCCTTTAATTTATCCCTTAGTTTTTTCTTTTTTACTTATATCTCTTTACTTCAACAAAGTATCTAAATGTGCCTCCAGAAAAAGATATACATATAATAAGACTATGTAAAAGGATAAAGAAACAGAGACATTTATGACAAGGACAGAAAAATATTTGTAACTAGGGCATGTTAAAGAGTTTTCATTGCAAATAACAATAAACATGCAATTTAGCTTTGACCTTCCTGGTAACCATGAAAAACAGGGAAGAATAATTATTAGGAATTCACAGCAAGGTCTTGGACCTTTATTCCTCTGTCATTAGTTTTATTTTCCAGGGATCCTGGCACAATGGTCTGTCCATGAACTGGACACTAAAAACCACTGCAACATCAGGTGAGTCTGTCCCTGATCCTGCCCAGGACAGCGTCACTGCCAAGTTGAGTTTCAGGCCAGGAGGACTAAATAACATTCCCACTGTACCAGTGTAGACAGATTCGTAGGACAGCCATCCACTGAGCCAATGGGACAGACTGCTGGTGTGCTTCCTCTGCCTCTAATCAACAGGATTTTTCCTGAGGTGTGGCCCATACAAGGGAAGGCAAATAAATTGGATTTCTGCCTATAATGTAGTCTCCCAGGAAAACTTGGGCTAATGGATATCCCTGGCTCTGGATGTGGTAGGCACAATTCTAAGAGGACTTTGGTATTCATGTGATGGAATCTTGTTATATAGAAAAAGGGATTATATGGATGTAATAAAGGTTATACCAACCAGTTGATTTTAAAACATGGAGATTACAGAGGTAAGTCTAAACTATTCATAAATCTTTAAAATAGTTTTAAAGACTGGCTGGTAGCAGAAGTAGCTGGAGAGATTCAAAACCTGAGAAGGACACAACATACTGTTGATGGTGGGCCACATGCCAAGGGATGCAGGTGACTTTCAGAAGCCAACAAAATCTCCTTTTGATCCGGTCCTACCTGATAGGCATCAAGACAATAGAGACCTCAGTCTTACTAGCAAACAGGTTTCTGCCAACAGTCTGAACGATCTTGAAAACATATTATTCTCTAGATCCTCTAGATGAGACATCAAAGCCAATGCCCTGATTTGGTTTTGGAAAACCTTCAGCAACGAACTCATTGAAGTTTGTCTAGACTTCTGACCTTCAGAATGGTGATCTATTATATGAGCACTGTTCAAAGCCACTGACTGACAGTCACTTTTTATCAGCAATTTAGAGACCTAATACAGTGGATTAACCAGATTAGTGTCACCCTGCTTTTCTGAGAAGTGTGAGGTCGAAAGGGAATCTGGTACTGGGATGCCTGATATGGCAACCTCCTTCCTCTCAAAATATAAATGGGCTATGCTCTCCCTGCTTAATTTAAAATAATTACCTATTCTATTACTTATATGGACTTCTTAATAAACTAAAAATAAAACTATCAAAATTTATAAGCTACTTCACAAAATAATAAAGAATGAATTCAGTAGAATTTATGAAGATATTCAGAAACTGTATACATTTAAAAAATATATTATCTCAATTTCAAGTTATGGGCAAAAAAAAAAAATCAAATAGGATTCTTTGAAGATGCTAAAGTTGTTCTTAAAACCTGATGGTGGAAGAGAACTTTTAGAATCAAGACAGTAGAAATCAGTATGTTAAAAAACAAAAATAAAACTGCTCTATTTTGCAGTACCACAATGGCCTAAGTCACCAAAGGAGACCACTAGGATTTAGTGGAAATATAAGTGAGGTAGAGAAACATTTTCTTCCAATAGTAAAGATTAACAACAGAAATATCAAGACAAAAACCCAAATTATGAATTGGTCTTGCAGATGCAGCAAACTTATGAGAACGAAATGCATGGTTAACCTGTTAGGTTAGTCTCCTCAAATACCAACTTCTGCCAGTAGGGCGTGGCTTGTGGGCAACTTGACATTGAGGTCCCTGGCATATTCCTCAAGTGCAGTAACTGTACGGCTGATGACAAGGTCAAAAGCTCATTTAAAAGAGCCTGGGTGGTACCCTTGTCCAGATGTAAAATGAGTCTCCATCTGTAAGGAACAGCATGACAGGACTAGCTCCCTAACCAGCTGGAAAACTACAACACTGTTTTCAGAGGGTGGTGCATTTCTGAGGTTTTGCAATTATACGTTATGCATTCCAAATTCCACACAGCTCCCAATTCTATCAACATTGTTTGGCCTAATCTCCCATTTTCTATGTCCTAGTTTTCAATGATTATAAGTCTCAAGTGTCCAGGGGACAGTGACAGACAGCTTCTTCATGTAACAAGTTTTTAACCAAATCACTAGAATTAAAAATGTACAAGAAATATAGAGACAGAAATTCAGAATCATCTCTCAGAACACATCCAAGGCCATGCTATTTGGAAAGGGGATGGATCTTGTTCTTTAAAAATAAAATGAACAAACTAAACAACAGTTGGGTTGCGCCTGGTAATAGAATTTGGCAGCATCAGCTCAGTGGCCGTCTTACAAGATCAGTCCCAGGACGATAACAGTCAAGTTAAATAAAACAAAACCAACAAGCGGTTTAGTGGAGTCCAACCTCAAGACTCTCAGAGGTGATAAATTAAAATGCAATGCAAAGCTCGGGGAGAAACACTGCTGCAGAATGGTTCCAGGGGAACTCGTCCTCAAGGCCGACAGGGGCAGTGTCAGGTCATGACCAGAACGTTCTAGAAACTGGACACAAGGCAGCAGCCTCTCCACACCGAGAGAAGCAAGGTCCGCGGAAAGGCAGCCAGCCCACTTCTGCTCAGAGCCGGGTGGGGGCGTTCAAAGAGCCTGCTCTCCACTGATGAGCTACGAATGTAAACTGGAGCTCTGGGTTTCTGATGGAGAAAGCATTCACTTCTCAATTTTCCTCTGCTGGGCAGAGGTGACGGACCTTACCTGGGACTGAGATAACGCTCCGGACCCTTTGCTTTCTTGGGACAGAAAGAACCGGACAGACATCAGGAGCTCCTGGATGCAGCAGCGAAATTCCTCTTCATTTTGCCCACCAGTGGCGAGAGAAAACAGCCTTCGGGACTGAACTATATACTTAAAAATGTATTCCTGGGCCTTAAAACAAGAAAGTCAAAAAGTTAGCTTCAAAGGAAGCCAAGGATATTTACACTTATATAACAATGACAGCACAGAAACTATGGCATGGCATTAGACTTTTAAATTATTGATTTAAACACTAGAATCCTGTGAGATTTTTGAGTGGTATTTACTTGTAGGGAGGAAATTCGTTTTTCTCTTGATGCCTTATGAAAAATGTATAAAAATATTTTAAAATTCTTTATAATTCTGAAGAGTCAGAACACTATTTTTGATCCTTAAGTGGCTTTTTTTCAATTTAGTCAACAAATAACAGTTTTTTAGAAAATACTCTAGTAGGAAGTCTCAATAGCACTCATGCAGACCAAATATGCAATTATTTCAGACACCACAGAGAATGGCACTCCCTGGGAAACAGAAGACCATCTGGGCGGGGACTGGAAAACGCCTGGAAGATTTTGTATTTGTCTTCAACCTGGCCACAAGTCAGGGATTACCATCCCCACATACATCTCGGCACAGGAGCCCAGAGATACGGGCCGTGCCGCACCATGAGACCCAGGAAACACTTAGGTATCCTCTTTGGGATCCCTGTTAAGCTACCATATGGGTCTCAAAGCTGGGTGGATAGAAGCAAGAGCTAGGAACTTCTAAGCACAGCTGTCTATCTGCTGTCTTTTCTCTTAGATTCTTACTCTTGCCAACCCTGGACTTCGCTTCAAGTGTCCTGGTGCCCAGAGGAGCAAAGATTCATTCCTGAGCAAGGTCCAACAGACAAAGCTGACAAAGTGCCTCTCAAATTTTACCAGCTTTGGAGCAACCACAAACTGATTAAGATCCTTAAATGGGGCGTCAGTAATATATCACCACCAATTACTGGCTGCGTAGAAGAAACCAATTAGTTTAAGCAGCACTGTGCAGCAGCTTTGCTGGGCAACAGTGGGCATGTGACTACCTTCAGCACCTCCTGGATGTGCTCCTGCCGCTCTGCTTCTGTGATCCTGTCCACATACCACTTGAGCACTTTGATGAGATCTCTAAAATACAGGGAAAATGTGCAGAATGAAGAACTGCAGGGTTCTCAATTAAATGCCAACAAATTCGATGCATATTATCATGAAGAAGCTTCTTTCCCCATAAATTCTCATATTTCTCTGTTGATTTGTTACCTAATAATTTTACTAAACCTGCAGATCAACACTACCTTCTTTAAAGCTTAAGGGAGAAACAACACTGCCTCCCACAGGGATTTCCCTCAATTTGGGCATATTCCACTGACCCTGCTGTTTCTGACAGCACCTTCCAACCTCAAATAGTGCAGAAAAGGACTCTGATCAAGCAAGTACTAGAAGCAGGACTGTCACGGTAAACCTTGGACAATTGCTAACTGGAGTTTCTTCCGCACTGACCACGTAAAAACAGCTGGATGAATTAGCTTTCAATAGCAGGCACAAAGCAGGTTAGAGAGGTGTGAGCAATAGCTTCCCACTCTAGGCCAACACTACAGATAATTCTCTGACCCATGAGACATCCAAAGTAAACCTTTGAAGGAGCATTTCTGTGAGAGTAAAGCTGTCGTTTAAGGGACAAAAATGTTAAAAAAAAAAAAAAAAAAACAACAAAAAAACAACCCTGTAACTCTTAAGATTATATTTGTGCCACTGAATCTTGATCAGGTCCTAATTTCTAGGAAAAAGTTCACAGCATAAATTTTCTTTTCATGGTGAAAATCAAAATATGAATCTAGAGTTAGTCAGGTAGAGAGAGGATCCCAATTTTGTGGCACTATCAAAAACATCATCAGCGTCCATCAAATGTGCCTTGTTCTCTCCATCAGGCTTGACTGGGTTATTCACCTTCGCCACATCAAGCCAGTGCACAGACTTTGATCTGGCGCTTGCTGGCTTTGACCTCCACAATGCTTACACATGGGTCATCTTCTGCCTTCCTCAAAGGCAGATTTAGTAGTCAGGAGGAAATTAATACTACTGTGACCAAGCGTGTTATCCTGGGCCACTCTTCAAGAAGTATCTGGGCCGCCTCTAGAGCCACAGTGTGGAAGCTGTGTGAGGTATGGCACAGATCTTTTTCTTGTGGCGGTGGACACTTTTCAGCATTGCCTTCTGAGTCTTCAAAGCCTTTGCTTTCATATCTTCACCGCTAGCAACATCTTGGTGAAAAGGTCACACAGCACCTTCAGTCTCTTGACAACAAAGAATACCTGATGTGCCAGCAGCAGGTGCTGCTAGGAAAGGCATTTTAAAGACTCTGTATTAGGGTTTTTTGACCACCCACACCTTGAGAAGATTCCACAGACTTTGTATGTGTCTTGTGATGGTGGATTATCCTTCTTTCCTGGCCAATCTGAAACATGAGAAATTATACTTGTGCTACCCAGCTTCCAGTGACAATTTCGGCTGGAGGTAGTGACATCCTCACCCCAGAATCCAAACCGTCAGAAGGAGCAGGACAGCGTTTCAGACTATTCCTGCTGTGACACTTCACCTTTGGCAAAACCTCGCATGATGGAAGGTCAAGTATTACAAAAATACCTCCCTTCACTTAACGTTGCTGACATAAATATTAACCTGCCATGGCCAGGATATGTGAGTCGATCTAAAGCTTGGTAACTACTATCCTTTATATGTCACACACATGGGGGAGAGGGGGAGAAATCTGATTTGAAGCTCTTTGTCTCACTCCTGGGAACACATGACTGTGCATGTACACCCCGCTGGGTGCTGCCTAAGCTACAGAGTAGAAATATGGGCAGAAAAGCAGTGATGGCGCTGGAATGGGGAGACAGGACATCGGGTACACGGCAGGACCGGATTTAAGCAGAGCAAAAGACTGCAAGGATGTTATTAACAGGACTGAAAGAGAGAAGCTGCTGCCTTCTGGCAAACAGCAACTAGGCCGGCTGGCCGAAGGCACTAGCTGAAGCTCCACATTACTCATTCGCCCTCAGCCTGATTTGCACACTCTGAGCAGGAGGAAGGAGGAGCAGGTAAACTGGCAGCTGCCGTGGAAGGACAATCCTCTGAATGACTTGCTTGAGGCTGGGGGACAAGTCTTCGCGTTGGCAGCACAAAGGATAGCACTGGGCATGCAGTGTGACACTCAGTAAATGTTCACAACTGAATGACTGAATTACTTTGAGTAAAGGAGAGCAAAGCCTGTTTTCCATTCATATTTCATTCTTCAAGCCATATATGGTAATGAAGGAGTACATGGGTTAAAGGGGGTCCTTGACAGCAAAAAAAGAAAGCAAATGAAAGAACCAGACATTTCAGGCCAAAGAACACAAAGTGGGATAGACACAGAAAGGAAAATATTTTTATGCTTTATATACCATGAATAGAATATTTCTGCTTACTTCTGTTTTTAATCAAAGTAAGTTGTAGCCATTAAACAAATGAAGGCGTGTGAGGGGGAAAGATACTGTCCCAAGAGACACTTCAGTTTTGAGCTGCATTTCCTTCCTGTGCCCTCTTCTAAATTTTCCTCTATAACTGCTTTTACTTACAAATGCTAAGAAGATCCTGCTGTAAACCAGCTCCAAGCTAAAAGACTTACCTGTACGCAAGTGCCCCAGCGAAATGGCTCTCAATGTAAGTGTCCATCACAGGCTTAAAATGATGAAATTTGCTATCCTGCAGCAGATTTATTATGTGAACCTAAAAACAAGATGGAGCTTTACAAAACCACATACAAATGGAGGCTTTTTAAAAGAACTTCTTATATTATCAAAGAACTTCTTATATTATCGATCATGAAAATCGAAACTGAGATAAAAATTGTTATAATTAAGTGAATGTAAACTTACCAAAGAATCAAAAACTTTAGACCCATATTTTTGGGAATTTTCATCTAAAATTCCAAATAAAGTATCCAGTGTATCTTGCAGAAACTGTTAAATAAAGAAGTAGTAGACGAATAAATAAAATATTGTCTGTTCTTCCCTCCAAGTGTTCTTTTTTCTGAGTTTAAGAGGGATAATGGAATAGTATACAGACCTTTACTATCTCTGAGCCATCAATTTCTTTTAATTTAGAAAGACAGCCTGTGATCTTGTCTGGGTGGGTTCTCCATTTCAAAAGATCAAGCATATCACCTTTGGAAACAGAAAAGGAGGATTAATTGCTATTAGAGTCAGCAGCTCCTGGTGTGTGAGTGTTCAAGGGTGAAAGCTGAAATCTCCAACACATAGCTCCCCTCTCCTGGCCATTCACTGTGTAAAAGGCAGGATACTATTTAGCTTTCAAGCAGGCAGCCAGTAAGGGACAGGGCCTACAATCAGAGTCCAGTGGTTACAGAGTAAATAGCACACACACCAACTTAAGAATTAATTCAAGCTATATAGCTAGTCAAGCTTAGAAATGCAAAAGCAAAAACAGTAGAAAGGATAGGGTTAAGGTAAGAAACCTTAATTCTCAGCAAAGAAACTTCTTAGGTAGAATATCTTAAATTAGTTAACAACTCCCCATACCTCCAGGCTTCTAGGAATTTAGAAATACAAAGTGACTGATTTTCTTTTAACCGAAGAAAAGTTAAAAGTTAAAAGTCTGAAGTCACTGACTTTCTTTAAACTCCACATTACAAAGCCTAAACCCCACTGAGTTATTCCAGAGCCACAGAGCCACCTATCACAGGTGATTCCTGAACAACTTCACAAGTGCTTTGGCATATCATCTGGTTCAAGAATTTACAATCCAGCTTCCTTCCCAGAGTCTGGAAAGTAGAGTACCCAGCTCTTCAATTTCCTCTCTGAAACTTGCCGTGGGCGCCCTGACTCCCACAAGTCCTCTAGGAACCTCACTTGGGGAGAAAAGAACTCTTCCTTCATCTTTCTAGGGCAGATTTAGAAAGCCTTGGGGAAATGGTGTCTCAGCTTCTTTAGTCTCCAAAGGGCACTGGGCGTTGAAGGCTGGTGGCCGTGGAAGCCAGTGAAGGCAAGATGAGCTAGCAAGGCGCACCAAGGACTCTCAGGAAACTGGAAGGGCTGGTCTGGGCTCAGTGGGCTCTTCCATGCTAACCTGTGAAGCATTCACTTCAAAGAGCTTGTCTCACGAGAAACTCAAATGAGTCTTGCTGAGAGACATAAAGACCAACAAAGAAATAAAAAATATTCAGGAAGTAGTTCTAAGATGAGGAGGCAAAGATGGAGTGAACAGAAATAAAAGTATGATGAATCTGGAAAGGAAAGAGGAGGAATCTGCAAGACTAAGATTCAGAAACAAACTTCATCAAGGTCTTAATGGTAAGAACCTTAGTCCAAAGTAAGCATTCCTAATCTGAAAACCCAAGTGTTCCAAAGCGTTTCTTTGAGCACTGATGTGATGTTGCAAGTGGAAAATTCATGCGTGGCCTCAGCAAGCAAATAGTACTCAAGCAGCAGGCAGTCTCAAAATATACTTAAAAATATAAAGTGTACAATGAAACATAAGCAGATTTTGGTTTAAACTTGAGTCCCATCCACAAAATATCTTATGTAGCATGTAAATGTTCCAAAATCCTCAAAACCCCAACATATGAAACACTCTGGTTCCAAGCATTTCAGATAAGAGATGCTCAGCCTGTACTAAATAGGAATGTTCATCTACAACAGAAATAAGAGGACAAGAGTTTAAAATGGCAAAATGAAGAAAAATTTAAATTACTTATATTTGCATTTTAAAAATAACAGAAACAAAACCCTGAAATTGTTTACTATTGATGTCTAATTGAGATATTCTGGGGGTATAATCGAAACCTTGTTAAAAATGTTTGGTTATACTTGGAATGTCAGGTTTTTCCAGAGACCATGATGACAGAGGCAGGGCTCTATTATTCTCCAAGTTCTAGTCCTCTTTTCTGTCTTCCTTCACCTAACCTTAGGATGCTCCCCTCCCTGGCATTCTCTTTTAACACCCCCCTCCCATGCATTTCTCTTCAACTCCCCTCCAACACCACTCCTGCTCTCCTCCCTTCCCCTGGCCCTCTCTCCCCCCTTCCCCTCGCCCTCTCTCCCCTCCCTTCAGAGGGAGACAGCTGCAGGGACATCGCAGGTCCTGCCAGAGAGGAGGAGCATGGGGAGTGAGGGGGTGGCTCTGCTCTTCAGGAAGCCACATGATGGGGCAACAGCAGGGGACCAGGAATAGGAAGCTCCTGAGCAGAGCTGAGAAATGGGGACAGTGGTCCGATGATCGCATTAGGATAGAATGCTTGAATTTCCTGCAGGAAGGCTAAAGAATCTCAGGACTGCCCATAACGGAGCAAATGGGAGAGCAGAACAGTTATGCTTGTCTCGAGTAAGTACGGTACTCATCATTAAGGCAAAATTGTCATCTCTAAGTCTGGTTTAGTCAATCGAAGACATTACCTACTGAAAGTTAAGAAATATGTGGATGACATGGTGCCGTGTCTTCAGAATGTTAAACTCTATATTTGATCTGACAATCACAGATGCCCAACAACCACTTTACTCTGAGCACACTATCTGTTAAAAGGCTATGTAATAAATAGACAGACAATGCAGACAGACACACTTCAGGAATCTGGGAAACTGCTACTAGAGACCCCAACACTTGATAAATATCCAATTGCAGTGGTAATTGAATTTGTGTATTTTCCAATTCAAGTAAAATGAACACACACCAATTTAATTTCAATTTGAAACTGGATTATTTCTATACGGAGATGTGTGTCTAGCATATAAATTTCAGAAAAATCAACTGATTTCTTTCCCCTTTCTCATCTCTTGAAACACTCTATTCATTTCCAGGCTCATTTTTGAGCTGACTTACTCTGACAAGGTTAATCAAAATCAAAATGATAATGAAATATGTATCAACCTTCAAAAATGAGCCTAACACTGCATGGAGTCCTGAGCCTGTCTTCCAGACAGTAAGATGTTTAGCACAATGATTTCATGAATAGTTTATTTTCCATATTTACCTGAAAGTATTCTCTGCTTCTATAAAGTAGGAACACTTAAGTTCAGGAACTGGGTTTCTCTATCTTCTGCACATAACTCTGTTTAATATCCTAACTCTAGAACTAGAATAAATTTGGGATGCAGGGTCAAATACTATGACAGCCATGACTCTGCTGTTAGGTTTAGCTGTGTGGTAGGCAGAGTAATGGTCCACAAAATGTCCCCAACCTAATTCTTAGCAGCTGTGAATGTGAGTGTACTTATTTTAATGGCAAAAAAAGACTTTACAGATGTAATTAAAGGTCTTACAGTAGAGAAAAATCCATTGGATTTTTCTGACCAAATACATCTTATTGCTTAAAATACAGAACAGAATCATAGTTAGAGAGATCTGAAGTGGCAGGAGACATGGGCCACAATATGCAGGCAGCCCCCAGAAGCTCCACAAGGTAAACAAAGGGACCTCCCCTATAGCCTGCAGCAGCAATACAGCCCTGCAAACACCTTGATTTTAGCCTAGTGCAATTCATTTTAGACCTTTACCCTCCAGAGCCATAGAGCAATACATCTGTGTTCTTTGAACCCAATAATTCTATGTTAATTGTTACAGAAGCAATATTCTATTGGGGGCATTCAATGAAATGTGAACGTAAGCTCTGTAACAGACAAGTAACTAATCCACATTGAAGAAGGTAAATTCTATGTAAGGTGTCAGGAAAAGGTTGATTTTTATTCTCTTCATAACCTCTACGAGGATAGACTGGCCCTATAAGAAAGACTTGAGGTTGGTAAATGCCTTTTAATCAATGAGTTATGTCAATGGAGGTTTTGTTTAAACAAAAGAATTAACCACTGAGTACTGATGAACACTAAAATTAATATAATTTACTGTCCTATGTAAGCATATTAGTACCGCATGCTGCAATTGAGAGGAATTTTTTAAATGGTCAGTATAATTATGCTATATTTTGCTTCTTTTTTGATACTATGTTCTATGCAAAGATAAATGTTTCTTTCTACCAATGCTATTTCATAACACAAAAGAAAGAATTAACAACACATATATACCTTTAGGCACAGGAGTTTCCTATGAAACACAGTACTTTGTTATGCAGTGATTCTCAACATAATGAATCTGACTTATTAACATAACCTTCCAGATGCGGACCAAAAGCCTTATATGGCAACCATGAAAAACTCAAAATTATTTAATTTACTTCTTTCATTATAGGCGGTGTTTTTAATAACAATTTGCTAAGGAAAAGAACTTGCTTTATTAATCATAACTTGCTAAACAATCACTGACATAAAAAGTAGTGCTGGAACAGAAAAGCAATATCTATCTAATTAAACAAAAAACAGGCTTTACTCTAAAGCCTGCAATTAGGGCTGTTTATAGAGCTATAAAACAAGAGATTACAGTGGTGGTATTTTTTGTCTTTTTTTTTAAAGTTGGGTTTTAATAGTTTATTTGAGGAATGATATACTTGTTTTCTTTCTTTCTTTCCTCTTTTTTTTTTTTAACCAGGGATCAAACTCATGACCTCATACTTGTCAGGCAGGTGCTCACGCCACTGAGCTAAATCCCTGGCCATACATGTACTTGTTTTTAATGTTGAAATAATCTTCAAGTCCTTAAATTTCATGCATTCAACAGAGCATTAGGTCACCACTATTTCCATTTTATTGACTGTCTTAAACGAAGGATTAATTTTTCTAAAGCAAAGTTCTTAAATAAAACCTCAGTATTCACTGAGTATGTCTACCAAATTCACACATGCCCTCAGGTATAAAACCTTTCAAGGAAAACAGTATTGTACATTACCATTTTGTGTGAGCTTTGTGGAACAGAGGAAAGATGTTATCCAGAAAGATTCCTTTGTGGCCTTCATGGCTTGATTATTATTCCCAAGGAAAATGCCCTTGGAGAAGGGGAGTTTGAGGTAGCGGGTAGTATCCTGAAGGTTTGTATTTTCTTCACACTGTTCAAAATATTCAAAACACAAAAGACAAGGAAAACAGAACTTGTAAGAGTTATTCAGCATCATTTCCATTTCTAGAGTTTATGAAGTGGAGACTTTCTAAAGAGCATTATAAGCACAATTTGGTTTTTAAGTAAAATGCAACAAAGAATTAAACTGGGATTTGGGATCTAGAATGATATAAATTTAAATCCTACCTCAGTCATTTCCAATATTTGTGACTGTGTAAGTTATTTAGTCACCTAGGGCTCTGGCAGTCTACCTGTAAAACCTCATTGTCTCATCAGAAGAACCAGATCACACAAAGCCTTTAACATAACTCCTGATACATGGAAATGCTGAAGAGATCATATTTGCAGTGACCACATGATATTTTTAAATGCTTAGATTTTCCCCCAGGATCTCCTCTGAGGTAGCTGTTGAACTGTTTTCACTTTGAAAACTGGCCATTAAGGAAATGGTTATTTCAGGTAATCTAATACACCCACTATTTCCCTCAGTAGTGAAGGAGATCACTACTTCACAGAAAGGGTTAGCTAACAAATGTAAAAGGAATTACAAATTTGGAAAACAAAATTTCAAATCCCTACCGTAATTATTTCTTTAGTCAAGGATTATCATTTATTGCTCATATCAGCAGGAGAGTTGTTGATGAGGAATCTGATGTGGCAACACACAGATTACTTACTACTGTCAAGAGGACAATGTAACCGATCAGGTTTTCATCATACCAATGCAGGCAATGCAGAGACACCCATCTACATCACAGGACGCACAGGGTACTAACAGGCTGCCTGCCCTACAGGAAAGCAGTAAGATGTACCAAACATGACACTGTCTGCATGATTAGTGGTCTCACCCATTCCAGTTAGAGTTGACAAAAAAAGGATTGCTCTTGATTAATCAATAGAAGATTGATGACCCAATGCAACACATAGTCTTGGCTTTGGACAAGCCTGATGATCGTTTCAAACTTCTGCTTTTGATCTGTAAACTGACCTAGCTCTGGTTAAGAAGTTAGTGACCTGGATAGTACTCAAAACATTAGTCAAAGCAATCAGGCAAGAGAAAGAAGTAAAAGGGGTATATGTAGAAAAGGAAGAAGTCAAATTATATCATTTTCAGATGACATAATCCTCTATACAAGAAGACCCAAAATAATTCTACCAAAAGACTTGCAGAATTAGTAACCAAACCTAATGATGCAGCAGGACAGAAAACCAACACACAAAAATCAATAGCATTTCTAGGGCTGGGTATTTAGCTCAGCGGCATAAGTACCTGCCTTGCAAGCAGGCGGTCGTGAGTTCGATCCCTGGTACCGATAAAAATGAAAAAGACAAAAAAAAAAAAAAAATAGCATTTCTACACACCAATAATGAACTCATTGAGAAAGAAATTAGGAAAATAATACCATTCATAACAGCAGCAAGAAAAATTAAATATTTAAGAATTAACCTAACTAAGCAAGTGAAAAATCTACAATGAAACTTTTCAGAGTTTCACTGTAGATCTTTCACTTGCTTACACTAGTTTCAAAACGGGAAGACAAGGGGTTGGGGATTTAGCTCAGCAGCATAAGCACCTGCCTTGCAAGTGCATGGTCGTGAGTTCAATCTCCAGTACCGAGAAAAGAAAAGAAAATGGGAAGACATCCCCTGTTCCTGGCTTGGCAACAAATATAGTTAAAATGGCCATATTTCCAAAACTAAAACACAGATAGTTCTAAAGTTCAGATGGAACCAGAAGAGACCCAAAATAGAAAAAGGAATTCTGGGTAATAAGAGCAGAGCAGAAGGCATCACAACCCCAGATTTGAAATTATATTGCAAAGCTAAGTGACAACAGCATGATATTCCCACAAAATTAGATGTGTTGATCAATGGAACACAACATAGTCTGCAGAAACAACCCCAGGCTATTTGATCAGTGAAAAAGTGGTACAAAACATACCATGAAGGAAGGATAGGCTCTTTAATAAATGGTGCTTGGAAAATAGGACATCCATATGCATAAGTCTAGACCTATATATCTTACCAGATACTGAAGTAAAACCAAAATGGATCAAAGATCTCAATGTTAATACAGAAACATTTAATCTGCTGAGAGATAAAATAGGCACAAGAAGATGCAGGTATAGGGAAGGACTTTTTGAACAGAATCCCAATAGCTCAAACAATAGTATCAAAAATCAACAAATGGTAATATATCAAATTAAAAAGCTTCTGTACAACAAAGGAAACAACCAACAGAGGCAAGAGAAAAGCTACAAAACAGGAAAAACTTTGCTAGGTATTCTTCAGAGGACTAATATCTAGAAATATATATATATATATATATATATATATATATATATATATATATATATATATATATAAAAGTTAAGACTTCTCCCAAATAAAAGATCCAATTAAAAATGGGGATATGAACAGACACTCCTCAAAAGATGTACAAATAGCAAATAAATACATGAAAAAAGGTTCAATATTGCTGGTTATTAGAAAAATGCAAATTAAAACAATGTGGAGATTCCATCTTATTCCAGAAGAATGGTTATTGTCAAAAAAATGAAACAAGAAATGCTGCTGAGCCTGAGGGGAACAGGGACCATTTTACACAGTTGGTGGGAAGATAAACTAGTACAGCCACTCAAGAAATTAGCATGGAGATTCTGTGCTGAAACCAAAATGTCCATTTGACACAGCTATCTCCCTTTCTGGCATCTTTCTGGAAGGGTTAAAGACATCAGAATACAGTGATACCCTGTGTACCCAGGTTTTTAGCAGCACAGTTCATAATAGCTAAATTTCAGACTGGGCTATATTTCCAATAACAGAGGACTGAATACAGAAAATGTGGTATCTACACACAATGCAGTACTACTCTATTATAAAGAAAGATAAATCTGAGATATTTGTAGGAACGTGGATGCCTCTTGAGATCATAAGGTTAAGTGAAGTCAGACACACAAGCTTTAACAATGTGTGGTCTCTCTTATATGAGAATCCCAAAATATAAATAAAGAGTAATAGAAAAGATAGAAAATAGGGAGTAGGGAGATAGATCTTTTTTGAATGGAAGCAGAGGAAGGAGGGACGGAGGAACAGCAGAGGGAGAAAGGGGATGAAAGACATAACTGAGATGAGTTATGTTCATGTACAACTCCCCACAAAGAATATAAACATTATGTAGTACAAACATGTACCAATAAAACATAAAAACCAAAAACAAAATCAATGTAACTCATATAGAAACAATTTAATAACTGGCAAAACCACTGTCTACAAAAACAGTACATTAAAAATAAATGCATGTGGGGCTGGGGATTTAGCTCAGTGGCATAAGCACCTGCCTTGCAAGCAGGCGGTCGTGAGTTCAATCCCTGGTACCGATAAAAAAGGAAAAGACAAAAAAAAAAAAAAAAGAATACAAAAATAAATGCATGTTATGTTTTTAAAAATACATAAAGAATAACATGTAGGGCCAGGGATTTAGCTCAGTGGCATAAGTGCCTGCCATGCAAGCGTGTAGTCATGAGTTTGATCTCCAGTACAAAAACGAAAGAACGAACATGTCAGATATGTTCTAAGAGAATAACAGTTAACATCCTGTGGACACTGAGAGGAGTGCTTTTATTTTACTTTGGTTTATTTGTATACTGGTTTTTAAAAACACAATAGTTATCTTAACATTTCAAGAAAAAAATAGGTACAGATCTAATATTTCTTAGCTTATTAAGAATATAAATTTCAAAATTCATATGAACTGTATTTCTTCACTTTGTTAAAATATTTTTAATCTTAGTGACCTGGTAAAAGGAATTTAAACACAGAAGCCTTTGGTATTGAATACTATTTCATATGATTCACAAGATTTACTTTTATTTTGATTATGTCTTTAAGAACGACCCCTCTCATGAGTAAAGAAACCTAATCAGAATATTACAAGATGTTATGGCGAGCAGGCCTGCTCCCCAGCAGGAACACCAATGGAAACAAACAGCCTCCATAATTCTCTTCTGGTATTAAGACTCTAAATGCTTTCCTTTATTGCTTTGAGATTTCATATAGAGAAAAGATGGCATAAAGTGCACATGCATGGTTTAAAGCATAATTATAAAGCAAACACTTCAAATGCATTCTATAGACAAGATACTTAGGTAAAGCAATGTTCTAGAATCTTAGACCACTTTCCCTTCCCCTTGGTCTTATTCCTGTTATCAGGCCCTGAGCCACGGCCAGTCATAGCACCCTACATCCATCCTGTTTCCTCACTGGAGCTGGTCTGCAGGGTTAGGAACATGCTCCGGTCTCCCATCCACAGCCTGACCTGTCCTCCATACACCCAACCACCACTTCCACTGTGACTAAATCTCATGCCAAACCCAGCGCAAACACTCTGCCCAGCTATTTCCAGGCCTCCTTCCCACAAGCTGGAGCCTGCCCTAGTCTGGTATGCTCCATTTGTTCACAAAAATCTGGTCCTGTAGCTATATCTCTTATGCTCCCCCTCTCTGAGCTAATTGGCTCTTGGCTTGGTCTGTAAGCTTCTTGGAATTCCTGCTTGATATATTCATCTAGCGCAACAGGTTGTCAAGGCACTGATCACCTGTGACTACAGATGTAACAGCTGCGTCGTGTCCTTAGGGGGGCACTGTGAATAGCACCCTTCTCCTGGGCCGCTGCATCCCATAACCCTGGTTCCTTTTACTTCTCCTCCATCCTAGGAAAACTAGGACATCAGCATCTGAGGCTGGGACATGATAACTTGATAGCCTCTTGAAGGTAAACTCCATCACCACCACGTAAGTACAAAACAGTAACACAAACAACACCTCATAAAAAAGTTACTTCAACATTTTCCACCAAGAACACTGGTGTGTGTGGGGGGGGGTGAAAGTGGGGAGAAAGAATTTTTTGCATGTTAACTCAGTAAATACAAGCATATACAATCACTCTTTGGAGAAATTTTAACCCATTTTTGAAATATTTAAGAAAGTA